GAAATCAATGACACTGTTCTGTAGTTTCCACACTCAGTTGGGTCACCTTTCTTTGGAATGGGAACAAATATAGATCTCTTCCAGTCAGTTGGCCAAGTGGCTGTTCTCCAGATTCTTAGAACATCAAAAAAGCCAAAACGAGGTAAGGTTGGTTGGTGTTTTGTGGGGATTTTTTTTCTTCGCAGACTGTCATTGGAATTGGTGACTCTAAAGTTGCTTTTTGAAAAAATAAAACTCCCACCATCTCTTTCCATTCCCACCAATTAGAAAGAACCAGTATTCAAAACAACTATGAGATACAATCTCACTCCAATAAGAATAGCAAAATTTAACAGAACAGCAAACAACAAATGTTGGTAGTTGTGGAGAAACCAGACCCCTTCTTCACTGTTGGTAGGGGTGTAAAATGGTGCAACCATTATGGAAGGCAGTATGGCGCTTTCTCAAAAAGTTGCAAATATGCAACAATGAATGAATGAAAACCCAAAATCTCTGTAAACGTTCATTAAAATTAATAAAATTTAATAATTTTTTTAAAAAGTTGCAAATAGAAATACCATTTGACTCAGCAATTCCACTACTGGGAATATATATACCACAAAGAAATCATAATCACCACCCAAGCAGATATATGCACACCCATGTTTATCGCGGCTTTGTTCACAATAGCAAGGAGTTGGAAACAACCTAAGTGCCCATAGACAAAGGAAGGGAAAGAGAAGCTCTGGAATACTATGCTGCATTGAAAAACAAGGAACTCATGCAATATTATACAAAATAGGTGATCCTGGAGAACATTATGCTGAGTGAAATATCTCAGTCACAAAAGGACAAATATTGCAAAGTGCCACTGTTGTAAAATGGGACTGACATCGGGGTTGGGGAAGACTGAGAAAGATGGGATAAATAATGTATACGGCATTGAAACAGATGAGGGAAAGAACTGTTTAAAAGGGATATGTGATTAGGTAATATTGTCATGACAGGAGTCCAGAATGAAGGCTGCATAGTGGAGTGGATTTGGCTGGAGGGATTGTATAACAATAAAACAATTTTACTTTTCAAAGAGACGAATGAACTGGTGGGGGGCAGGGCAGGGAGAAAAGAGCAATAGTGAATGAATGGAAATCCAAAGTCTTTGTAAACTTTCATTAAAATTAATAATAAAAAAGGGAGGGAAATCACACTTTAAAAAAAAAAGGGTATGGTGAGACCCCAGAAAAGCAATGGCATAAATATTCCTCATCATTATTCTTGCCCAACATAAAAGATATCTTCTATGAAATAAGGTATGTTAGAGATTTTTTTTTTTCTCCCACTAAAATCAATGGTCATATCTGAACCAAGTTGAATAATTTATTCTCTTACTTTTTTAATCTAAAGGATAAATTTTTTTATCTCATTTTTGCTCGGAGCATTAAAAAACTGTGTTCTATAGATGAAATTGGTATTATCTTTATATTTCCAATAGTATAACTAAAATAAAACTCTGCTATTTCTCAAGAACTAAAAAAAAACACCCAAACAACAACAAACCAAAAAAAGGGGGGGAAAAACAACAAAAAACCAAGCCCCAGTATTAACAACCTTCAATGTACCTTTCCACATTTTTATGGAAGCTCACCACGGGACCAATTGGCATCATCACGATGGATGGTGAAGAGATTGAGATTGTACACAGCTTTAGT